TGAAAAGGATAGAATGATTCTTTTGTTAATCACGAAACTTCAGGTGTATGTCTTTTATTTAAATACATACTGACATAATACTTTAAAGAGCATTGTGATCCTTGTGCAATTAAATTATTTCAACCGAAAAAGTAAAGCTTCAAATTGCTGTTGCTGTGCAATAACATGTTCATTGTTAATAACATATACTATAAACTTTGAAGTTTATTAAACGTAAAGGAAGGCTTGTAATTAAACTGTACTGATAAAAACATATCAGTTCGCATGTGGACAAAAAGGTAACTGTAAAATGAGGGACTTTTTAACTTTTTATCAACAACAAATTATTGACTTAAATATGTAACTTGTAAAAGGTATTAAAAACCCTTATTATCGAATCATTTGAAAAGATATCATTTCAAGAAATCAATTCTGCAGATGTAGAACACGATTGAAATAAATCATTTTTTTTATACAAGATTGTCTACGTCATCTCTCATTATACACGATTGTGTAGGTTGCATCGATTATATTCCATTAATTTGTGTTCATTAACATTCACTTAGTATGTACATCGCATAAACTTCAGTGTACTATTAAGAATAAATTTTACAAGAAGTATCTTATAGACATTTCAAATTGGCAAGTTTTTCAACAGTTGTATATTATATAAATTATTGTAAACGTTTATAAATTTGCTGAGCAAGTATTCCATATAAATAAATAAATTATACTATAAAATTACAGGTTTGAGTACCAAATTGTTTCTTATTAATGAAACCGATTGTATTAACTTAAAATTGAATTATCCATTTATTTTGTAATAAATAATAATTAAATACAGTGTTCAATTTTAAAAGTAGTTAATAGTTATTTGTAACGTTATTACATATACTCAAATATATTTTTATGTTGTACTTGTTGAAGTGACAAGTCAAGTAACTTGTCCTGAATAGATGTATCCAAAGCATCTGGATGTTCAGGACTAGGAAGACAGTTACTGATATACATACCGCCGTTATTTTCAATTGCTTTATTCACAGCTGCATACACAATGGATGTAGCTCCTTGTCTTGGACTCTGAAAACATATTTCTACCTTAAATACCTAAATTACTTTTTTATGGTGCTTAAGGTACTTAAGGTACTGCATTGCACCGTTAAGGTTGTGTCCATTTGTAGCCTTTTAAGCACCTTTCTAATCTCATACAATATAAATTCCTTAAGGAGTTAGACTACCGTAAAATTCGAAAATTTGTTTTCGGTTAAATGATATTTTGATGTTTAAATAGATCTTTCTACTGTCAGGAAATACATTAAAAGAGTGCCCGTAGACTCATTATTTTCAGAATCATTATTTTTTTAATTTTTATTGTTTTTACTAGTTAATAATATACAAAAATAAAAGACCGACTCGATCGAATATTTAGTTTCTTTTTGCTGTTACAGTAGTTTAACTCTTTAATTTCTGCTTACCTTAAAAATAAATGGTAATAGTAGTTTGTATTTATAAATGAAAGAATGTACGAAAAGGTCTGTACACACTATACCCGGATGTACCGAATACACGTTTATATTATAGCCTGCTTCTTTGACTAGCTTTTGCAACTTTTTAGTAGATACCACCTGTGCTAACTTACTTTGACCATATGCACTCATAGTAATAAATCGATGCCTGTTCAAAAATCGAATTTTAGATTAATATATGACTTGCAAAAGGTAGAAATATAATTAGTCAAAAAATGATACAATACTTATTATTGATATCTTTGAAGTTAATTTTACCCAGGAGATGAGCACAAGAGCTAACATTAACGATTCTACTGGACTGTTGTGAACTTTTGACACCGCCAGCTTTCAATAATGGTAATAGAAGAATGGTTAGTAAAAAGTGTGACAAATAATTCACACCCCACTGCACTTCAAAGCCTTCTGCAGTCTCCGAATATGGAGTAAACATGATACCAGCTAGAAAAAAAAGTTAAATTATACAGTAGCCATTAATATTACATTAATGCAAAAAAATTTGTAACTGGTAATAAAATTATGTAACGCAAATGGACTTTACCATTATTGATCAGGACATGAATTTCTGTATAGTCTTTTTTTATTTGTGCTGCAAACTGTTTTACAGACTCCAAAGAGGCATTATCAATTCTGTAGACTTTTGCCTTTCCATTTTTAACACCAGACTGCCTAATTTGTTGAATGACCTCCTCACCAGCACTAGGTGTTCTGCAAGCTAAATATTTGTATTTTGAATGCATATTATACCAAACGTTTTCAAACAACCTTTGCAAATAATTGAATTTATATCAGTGGATGCGACATACCAATTATTACTTCCATATCAAGTTCTAGAAGCATTTTAACTATCTCAACACCAATTCCTCTAGAGCCTCCTGTTACAATAGCAATTCTGCCAGTCTGCAGTGGACAATCTAAAAACAAATTAATTTCATATAACAAATAATTGTAATTGCTAAGTAATCATAATTTACTTTTCTTAGGCATATTTAATTATGGAAATTAATGTGTCAGTGCTGCATGTTTGCATAAATTGTGTGCCATGGAGGGAATATATACAAGCGCGTCGTTTTATTTTAAATATATTTCGAAATATTCGTATATCTCAAAAATTGTTTATGCAGTAGATATTCGTTAACGTTAAATACGCTGATAAATTGCAATATGTAAAATATTGCTGACAAGTCGGCGTTTGTATTTCTAGTTGCGAAATGATCGAGGTTGTCGTAAATATTGCGCGCGATGCAATTTGAAAAATTCAAACAGGTGATGAAATTTTGACGATACTTCGGCCAAGCTTGTTCCACTTACCATTCTTATTGTGTTTTCTATTGATCCAGTCAAGTAGAACTTCTTTGAAGCCTAAGTAGTCGAACTTCATATGGTGGAGAAGCTTAACTAAAGAAAGTGGCCAACTTTCTTCGGGTTTCCGATACATGAGAACACTTGCGATTAGAAGGAAAATAGAGCCGAGTAGCATCATCTTTTGACACTGATCCTGTCTCGATTTCGAAACCAGCGAATTTATGTGTTCCGCGGGACGGACGAATTGTCATACTAAACGCACGCTCGCGACTGAAAGATATTAAATGGGCACGACAAGAACTTCTTATCCCCAGTCACTTTTGAGCTACTTTTCCGCTCCTCCTGAGCGTAAGATTTCTACCGTTATACCGAATCACATTTAAACGATAATCCGTGTCTTTCATCATTTGCATTATCATTCAAATATTTATATGATGAATGAATATCTCAGCGACTCTTATCGATACCTTTAATATCTATTGCACAATTTGTTTTGAACCCGCTCACGCACTATTCTACGAATATGTACATACAATATTGTAGGATTTACTTAAACGACGACCAACAACAATGCATTGATCTGCGGTGTTTTTCGTAAATAATTGGTAACACGTATAATTAAATCATCACTTACATAACATATATGGCTGCTGTTGTACGTATATATTTATAGTTACGTTATAGGGTGTGTACATACATACGTACAAGCGAAATCAATTAGATTTGTTCTTTCCACCTACTCAAATGTACCTGTTAATTTACGGAAAAGTCATTTGAATTGAGTTTTGTGATAAAAAATTTATTTCTCACAAAGAACATACTCGATAACCTGTAACAACTTGTAGGGTGAATCAGTTTCATCGTTGATAGAAGAGATTTATATATGCATATGGTGGAAATAATTATTTTTATACAATTTTGGAGAAGATTGAAGTATATTTTTTGTAATGAAATACCGGAGTTTCTTAACGTAACTATTATTATCGAATCTGTAAGAATATACTGTGTTAAATATTTAAATCGCTTGTAACGTGTACCACGTGTACTGCATTGTATAATTAATCTCATCGGTAATACGGCAGATTTACAAAACCGAAGCAAAAAAGTACAACTCAGACGAAATTGTGTTCCGAACAAAACTTCTCGTATATGCATGCGACATTGTTGATAAGGCGTAAAATTTCTTTGCAACCATCTAGCGGTTAAACGTGTATACTAAAAGGTTTCCTTGATGTATGCAATTGATTTCTTCCAAGACGAGACGGTACAACAGGTTGCATATTTGCAGGAGATCCAGTTACAAGATACCTCACTGTTGAACATTGTTCAACGGCTTCAATGAATTTGATTATTGCTATAGACACAGTGATCACGTAATTATTCAGTTCATTCTCATAAGAGGTACTTCACTGTACTTTACCACTACAATTAAGTTGTATAAATTTGTATATTCAACGAGAACAATGCACGTACGCATATATTAATAAATTAGCTTATATTACAATTTGAACTAGCTTTTCATTGAAAATAACAGTACTATGTATTATAATAGACTTATAATGGATACTGTTTTCGTAAAGTAAGTTTTATATATCATCGATTAAAAGAACTGACACAGTTATATTATACAGTATCATCTCAATTATCGTAATAGTAAATAAATAAATACCATAACCGTATTTGTCCAAATTTCATCAGTACGGTTAAGTATACAATATAAAAATATGGTAATATCAATAACAAGAAATCTATTTCGTATTATATTTAACATTTCTTATTAGTGGTTTTTTTTACATTTTTGAATTTACACTATTAATTCTAACATCTCAAATGAATTTGTCGGGAACTAGCGAGAAAATGCTAATCTCTGTTGCCCTCTCGCGGTGAAATTGATGAGTCGCCTTCACGGCGAAGAATCATTCGCACCATCTATCAGGGAAATTAGAAATCTTAAAAACGAAACTCAGGATAATTATTAACGTAGCTGGGGAAGTATATGTACGGTATACGTGGTCAGTAAATGTGCATAGATGCTGTAGACGATTCGATTTGACACAATTAACGTTCATCCGCGTTTTTGTAGAAATTTACATTTTTACTAAGCAAACGAGGATTTACTTCGTCGTTGGGCAAAGTAAGTACACATCAATTAATTTCTCTTCTTCCGACTTCATTTACGAATATCATTTTTAATGAAATTTCAAAACGCGTGGTGTAAATATTGCAGTTAGTATATTGAAGTTTTATTTACATTCATCCGATGATATTGCTCCAAGCTCGTTATAATAGTACATTTCTTTCGCAGTCACGGCGGATTAGTTGTTTGGTACATTATTTTATGTTATATTAATAAATGATGCCGAACTTAGCTGCTTTCACTTTAGAAAGCTGGACACGATTTACATTTTAATGTGTTTGTTAACAGTTTGTAACCGATTTTTGAATTAGTCAAACAAATGCATTCTAGAATGAGTATGAGCATTTACTTATTACTTTGTAGCTTATCGATAAGATTGTTTTCTTTTTATGTAGGATGGCAGATACTGCTAGTACAGGATCATCCACTAATTCCCCACAAATGGAAAAAGGTTGGAACAATTTAAGACAACATGTTATCGACAATAAAATTAAAGTAGGATTATGGGTTACAAGACTTTTCACAATTCTGTTTACTATCGGTTACATTATTCCTCTATTTGGGTATGTTACTTTATGATATTTCTCTTGTCAATAAAAAAAATGTGTGTATTTAAGTTTAATTCTGAGTTTCATACTGTTTCAGCAATCCTTATAATATTTATTACAAAGCTCTTATGAGCAACGCAGCCACAAGTGCATTGCGTCTTCACCAAAGAGTGCCACTTGTTCAATTAAATAGACAGTTTTTGGAACAGTTATTTTTAGAAGATTCCTTCCATTATTTATTTTATTCTTTAATATTCCTCTATGCAGCTCCGGTTACATGTATCCTTCTTATTATGAAATAGCTGTTAACAGAGATAGATACGAATAGTTTCAAATTATTGTTCCTTAACTAATAATCAGTGGTGTTAACACCTATATTTTTATTTGCTTTAACGCACTTTGCTAGTTACTTTCTCATACTCCTCGATGTAAGTAAGAAAAATTTCATGTTCTATTGTAAAAATTATATAACAGTATTGCGACTGTATCATACGCACAGTCATTAGAATGACAACCAATACTTATTTTGTGTTCTTAATTAAAGTGTTTAGGACAAAATAGCTGGTGGGGAGCCCGTCTATTCATATCTCTAGTCGAGTTTCAATCTAGGAACATTTTACGTCTTTGTGCGTTGTCTGAGATAATTAACTTGCCATTTACAGTGCTCCTAGTATTTACGTATGTATCACTATTAATATTTAAAATTGTTCGACTATTGTAAGGACTATATGTAATTAATTTTTTACAGAGATCGAGCTAGCTTATTAACACCATTTATTTACTACCAGTTCTTGAAACTGCGTCTCGCATCGCGAAGAAATCCATTCACCCGCAATGTATTTTACGAACTTAGAAATGGGCTAAGTTCAATCTCCGCGAAACCATCCGTACCAGAGATTGTTCGGCGGATGATAGCAGGTCTATTGTCGTTGACGCAACAAATGGTTCCAGTTCGTCAATAATTTTCAACTTTTAAGACGTAAATTCTTAAAGATTTCCTAGGGTTCTAGGGTCCATGTAATAACAAATTGAGGATAAAAAGAGTGCAAATATCAAAAGCAACAGGGAGCCTATGATTTATTGTTTGAGAATTGAATGAAATTAATCAAGCTATGATCTTCTGAAATCTGAATCGTTATTTTAAATTACTTCCGAATACCAAACATGATAACATCAATTTTCATACGAATTATGTAACAAAATTTTTGATATTTTGTAATGTGTACTATTGATAATGAATTAAGATTTACCACGTAATTCGTAATTATTGTAAATAATAGTATAACAATCCTGTTATAGCAAGTATCACTAGATTTCATTCAAATATTTTGCATGCATAGAATTTTATTGATTGTAACATTCCGGCACACCTATTGGAATGGTGTTTATGTTAAGAAGGTATATTCACATTATATACACATGGGAAAATATGGAAAT